ACACTACCTTTCTTTTCAAATAGCTAAAGCAAAAAATATTTACAATTTCAAGTGCCAGAAGGCATTCAGAAAGTTGGATCTTCATAGGTGGCTGTTGGGAATGCAAAATGGTACAGCTAGTTTTAAAAAATTGTTTATTGCTGGGGATCTAGCTCAGCAGCGCTGCACCTGCCTGGCAAGAGCAAGGTCCTGAGTTTGATCCCTGGTACCAAAAACTAAACTAAAATAAAAAACTTTGTTATAAAATTGTCATACAAACTAACCACATTATTCCAAGGTATTAACTCAAGGGAAAAAATGTCTATATAAAATTTTGTATGTGAATATTTATGTGTACCCAAAACTATAAGCAACTCAAAATGAATGAATAAACATCATACTAAGCCATACCATGGAACACTATTAAACCAATGAATGGAGTAAGCTTCTCAAATGACTATACTTTATCATTCTTTTTATATTGCAAAAGCCACAGGAACAGGAAAAAGCAAAACTACAGTAACAGGTTATAAAAATTTGTGTTGCCTAGGGAAGATAAGTTGTAAAGGAAATTGTCAGCCAAGGAACACGAGGGAACTTTTTGGAGTGAAGGAAATGTGTATTTTGGTTGCCAGATCCATAGAACTGTATGTATACCTAAAATGGATGAATTTTACAGTATGTATACTGTACTTCAAAACTGACTTAAGATAGTCTTTTAAAAAAATTAATACAAAATTATATTAAAGAGGTAGCAGCCAACAGCACTTGAATTGAATACTGGTTTGATCCTGGTTTTGGTGGTAAGAATTGGGGTAGGGGGAACAGCTCTGAAAGACAGGAAATTTCGGTCAACACTGGCTACATTCATGGATGTTATGGAGTTATTTTCAGTTTTCTTAGGTATGGTACTAGAGTGGTTAAATAGGAGAAAGTATATTTCTGAGATATGATGAGTAGTAAGAGATGAAATGCTTCATGTCCTTCACTTATTTTAAGAATACACACACACAAAAGCTAATAGGTAACATGTTAATGATTATCTCAAGGTAGTATGTATGTGGCTGTGTGCTAAAACTTTTCTGCAAGATAGACATTTTCAGTTGAGGGAAATAGTATTTATTGAAGATGACCATATCGAACGCAGTGTGTTCCTGTGAAAATCTATGACCACTGGCGATCTGTGCCTACGTTGCATTCTTCAGAATAACTTCTTTTTTACTGCAATCGGGGCATGATAACACAGGCTTACATTGAGAACTGGGGCAGAAAACATTTCTGTGAAATGCTCTGTGTTGTAGGATGTTTTTGAGACCTTTGTTTACTGGATTGTATGATGGCTTTTTTGGGAAAGATGAAACTGTGTTTCAATACAAGAATAGTTGTGCGGCTCTTGAGAAACTGACTGTGGCGTGTTACAGATGTTGAGTTGCTTCACTGGCTGCTGAAAGCTCTGGTCTTGCTTACCGACCCTCTCTAGCAGGCGTGCCTCCCAGCTGTAGTCCAGGTACTTTCGAACTTTCCCCTACTTGCCCTTAGTTTTACTTCATCCTGATTCTGCCATCATTTTTTAAATTTTATTTTATTTTATGAGGCTCTTTATATCCAACAATGTTCTAGCTATGTTAAAAGGATTTAAAATAATGTAGGGCAGGTAGTGTAGCTCACTAGTAGTTCTTTTTGCATAAGCAGAGCCTTGGGTTCACTCCCCAGTACCCCCCCCAAAAAAAAGAAAAAAAAAAGAAAAAAAAAGTAAAGTAATGTAGTTTATTTCAAGAATAGGGAAATGTTTCTAGAAAGTTTAAAAGTGCATTTTTAAGTGTAATTAAATAATATATAAAATTTCCTGTTTTCTGCAGTAACACAATTGTAGCTATATTAAAGTAAAATTCTCTTGGGGAGCGCGCTGTTAAGACAGAGTGTCATTCTGTAGTTCAGGCTGGCCTCAAAACTCCAAACTCAGGGCGATCCTCCTGCCTCAGCCTCCTGAGTGCTGGAATTACAGACATGCACCACCACCACACCCTGCAAGAGGAAAATTCCTTTTTTTTTTTTAAGGCAAGGAGTAGAGTAGGGCAAAGACAAAGGCCAGTCCCTAGAAATAAATTTTCAACAGTAGGAGGAATTGGCATTTTCCTTTGATAATTTCATTTTTTTGTACCAGGAATCGAACTCGGGACCTTGTGCTTGCGAGGCAGGTGCTGGAACCACTGAGCTAAATCCCTGGCCCTTCATTTTTTTTAATTAAAGGAAGTAAAATACACTATTTGTAGTTGTTTTATCTTTAACATTTCTTAAAGAATTATATATAGGGGGGGCGAGGGATTTAGGTCAGTGGTGCCGCTGCCTGCCTTGCAAGCGCAAGGTCCTGAGTTCCATCCCCAGTACCAAAAAAGAATTATATATAGGTCCTACAGAAAAATTACATTAGTAGTTTTTGAATAGTATTCAGTTTTCTTCCCTCTCGCAATAGTATCATCCTTCTATTAAATGATACTTATTTTATGAAATATTTTTCAATGTCAGTATGTTGAAACACATTATATTTACAGTTTCTGCTGCCTTTGGAAGTCTCCATCCCATTTAGATTGCTGTATTATATTATGATAGATATGTGGTCTGACAACAGCACGCTTAGAGCAAGAATAGCATTACTTAGTCTAAAATATACATGTTTTATGGACTACGTTGGCTGAAACATTTTAAGGGGTGTGTATTAAGAATGTCTTTTGGGGGCCAGGGATTTTTAGCTCAGTGGTTCTGCTGCCTGCCTCTTAAGCACAAGTGTGAGTTAGATCCCCGGTACAAAAAAAAAAAAAAAGAATGTCTTTTGATATACTTAAGTTTATTCTAACTTTAAAGTATTCACTTAATAAGTAAGGTTTTCTTTAACTGACTCAGTGTTCAGTTTAAGCTTTCTCCCTCCTTGAAAATCTGGAAAATAATTGAGTTAAATTATCTTTAAAAAAATTGAGTTTTGATTTTATATTTGGGCATACTTAAATCTTAACCTTAACCTATGATCGTCTACTATGAAGAATATATTAAAATTGATTGCCAAAATAGGGTTAGTTGTAAGCACAGGGATAAAGTAAGATTGCTGTGTCCTTTGCCCCAGGTAAAACAATTCTTAGAACTAGGATTCATTTTTCTTTGCTTACATGACTGGATTCACTTCTAGTTTGCTAAAATATGATAAAACGGAGTGCACACTTCTCTTTCTTTCTGCACCTGTTTTTAAGTGAAAATGCTACTTATTCTCATTCTTCTCCTTAGTCTTTTCTTAACACATCAAGTTTAATTTTGTAGCCATGCCAGTCAGTCATGTGAACTCTGTACAACATCTCCATTTATACTGCTTCACACATCACTCACAGAACAAGTTCTCACAAAGATCTGTTTTGTTCTACTGTTGATCCACCCTAAAGAAACCAGTTTCCAAATGATGCAAGGCTTTGTAAATCAAGATGAACTGGTCAGAAATTGGATACAGAAGCAAACAGGAAACCAAATAATGCTGCCTAATTAATATGATAACAGGCACATGTAATAAAATTGAGGGTAATGAAATGTTATGTATTCTAAGAATGTTCTCATTAGAAAGCTTACATCACATCCATACTGGAATCATACTGAAAAGGCGACAGAGAGGCCAGTGAGAACAAGTGATCAGTTGTGAACTTCAGTTGTGTGTGTTGGTTAGCCAGCCCTGTGTGTGATAATGAAGAGTACCAAGGTTGAGAGACAGAAGAGTCCGGTGTGTAGGCAGCAATGGCCCACGGAGGGTGCAAACACAGTGGCAAACAACTTCCTTTCTCAGAAACTCTCTCTGTCAGGAAGAAAGGAACCGACCTCCACACAATTCGTAAGTCACAGAATGTTTTTTAACCAGAATTAACTCAAATATAATGTATTCATGGATTAACATAGTTTTTGAAAATACCCTTGAAATATTTTCTCTTCGAATAAATGTTTTGTCAAATTAGTTCACTTTATTCAGAGGTTTCAAAAATACCAAGCTCTTTTTCAGAAGTTTTTTCTTTCAGATGATCTAATCTAAGCATTAGCTTTTAACTCACTGTCACATAGCTTCCCAAAGAATCTGTATCTTTGTGATGTGTTTTTCCCCTTGAGAAATAAAAGAAAGGAAACGAAAGAAGTTTAAAAAGAATTATAATGCCCTCTACTCATTTCCAACCTTCCTCATCCAAAAGAAATCAGAGAATTCTCAGAATACTTTGTGAAAATACACAATCTAAGTCTTGAATCAAATGACTGTGTTAAAAAAAATAAAACTATTACAGAGAACATAGCATACATTTTAAGATGTTGCCATCTCAACAGTTTTTGAGAAGAGAATTGTAATTAAAACATTTTCTTAAAGCCCTTTGCACATTAAGCTATTCACAGTCACAGATACTTTCTATTCTGATGAAACCAGGTTAGCAGGAGGAACTTTTCTAAAACAAAGTATTAAATTGAGTAAAGAATTGCCTTCCTGCTTTCAGCCTGCTTCTCCCTGGCATATCTTAAGTTTCATAGTCTGCTGTCTCTGACAGAGTGATAGATAATTCAGGATTCTTTGATTTCCCAGTTTAATCAACTCCCTGGTACCATTTGAATTGTTGAAACAGTAGTCTTAAAATATAAACTAGTTTTTAATTACATTTTTATTAAGGTGTAATCAACATATAGTAAAACACATTTGTCTTAACTGTATGAGTTTTAACCAATCAGAATATGATACACATCAGGATTACTAGGTAAGGTTTCTTAAAATATACCTATCAGGAAGTTAAAAAGTTTTCTAAATGATTCTGAGCTAACCCCTTTTAAGAACCATTGCCTTTGTGAAGAACCAAATTGAATAATATATATAAAATACATAATCTATCATGAAATGTTATATAAAGTTAGGTTATTGTTTATAAAACATTTATACTTTTTATGTGCCTTTTTATAAAGCTTGCCATTCTGGCTGAAGTGAAATTCTCAATTTGTTTTTTTTATTTGTTTTTAAGAAAATTAATGCAAAACTTCATGATGGAGTATGTCAGCGTTGTAAAGAAGTTCTTGAATGGCGGGTAAAATACAGCAAATATAAACCATTATCAAAACCTAAAAAATGGTGAGTTTTTTATTACCTTACCAGTAACATATGTATATATGTATTATATTTATTATTTTACTTCCTATCTTTCATGTTAAGTAAATTTAAAACTAACTTCATTCTCCCTTGTAGAATTTTGTCTTGCATGCTGAATCTTGGTTTGTGGTGGCAGACAGATGGAAAAGTAGATTCATCACTCTCATCCATTCTTTTCATCAATAAATAATGTACCATTTTGGTAGAAAATTATTTATAAAAATTATCTATAAAAGGGAAGTTGGGACAGAGAGGAGAAAGTTTATTTTGGAAATTCTATTTTTCACCAATTAAGTAACAATATATACTATAGATTATTCTTAAAAGGGTTCTGACCTTTTGAATTTTTTTGAAACTTTTAGAAATTTTTGTACTTCCTCAAGCTAGAGTGAGTTTTTTAAAAAAGCAGTTTCTCTGGAGATCAAGAAACATCTACTTTTAATACTTTGAATTATTTTAATCTTTGTTAAATTCCAGTAAAGTTAATATTTTTATTTGAAATAGGTTATATAATCCCATTATAATGTATTTTCTCCCTATTAAAATACCCTTTCATCTGTATATCTTTGAGTTTTTTCTTTTTTTTATTAGTGTATGTTTGCAATACATAATGAATACAGTTCATCATGGGGAGTTGGTACAGTGTCACATCTTAGTCCTTTTTACTTTCCCTCTGCTTTTCTTTCTTCCCTTCTCCCTCCATCCCTACCTACATCCCTTCCCCATCTCCAAAAAGTCTACCTAAAGTTAAAAATTGTGTGGTTTCAAAGGCCGGGGGTTTAGCTCAGTGGTTCTGCTGCCTGCCTTGCAAGTGCAAGGTCCAGAGTTCGATCCCCGGTACCAAAAAAAAAAAAAAAATTGTGTTTTCTCTTAATGAGAAACCCAAAGTATAAATCATTCAAAAAGCAAAATAAAAAAATAAAGGGGTTCTTACCTTTTAATTAAACACATGAAGATTACTGAAATGTCTTGGATCTGATATCATAAGTGAATCACTAGTTCGTAACTTACAGGTGCATTCATTTGTAGATTGGTGTATTAATGAAGCAATACCAGACTTTGTTTTGTGTCCCTCTGTCCCAAACCATTCTGTAATTCCCAGGCTCTTGCACATCCTGTGTTGCTCCCTTGCATCCTTTAGCTCAGCTGAGTAAGGACAATATTGGATGACAACTGCTGTGTGAAAGAGAAAATGATTATATTTAATATAAAAACTAGCATATTTTTACATAAATTTTAATGTGGTAGCTATTGAAAACATATTTATTGTTGCTTTATTTTATTTAGCCATTCAGAAGGATAAACTAAAGTAGTCTATTTAGAATTTTTTTTCCCCTGGTGCTACTCTTTTAGGGCAGAATTTTTAATAGTATTTACTACAGGTATATTTGACTCCCCTTTTAGACAGCTTCAGAAATTCCTTCTTTTGGTTTTTTTCTTTTGTTTTCCAGCATATCCTCCCAAAAGAAAAATATTTTAAAATCTGATCACTTTTGTGCTCACTAGCCCACATTAGCAGAAGGGAAATTCAGTAGGAGGGAAGATGTTTGCACGCTCCAATTTTAGATTTCCATGAATGAATTAACTGTGTTCTCGAGACAGTAACTAGATGTTGGTTGTGCAACAAATCGTGTCCCTTTAGTTAATAGGTGTAATATAAGGTATTCAGCTTTCTGCACATCTTCAACAAGGCTTTTCTCCATAAAGGTATTTTAAAACTTTATCACCAATCTACATTTTCCTTTGGTAGCATCATTTCCCAAAATAATTTGGAGTGTAGACAGTAAACGTTTATGAAGCCACAGCATTTTAGTGGACCAGTGCTATGTAACAAAGGAAACCACTTAAGAACATTCCTGCCTCATCCATTAATCTAATCTCTTGTCTTTAATGTGTTTAATATCTGTTGTAGCCTATGTTTAGCTTCATTATGAGTATGCCAGTATATGAAGGATCATATCATACTAATTATGAATTTTCAAAATGCTAGACTTTGCTGTAAAATTTCTGAATTTTTTTAGACAGTGCTTAGTTTTCTCTTCCAAACATGTATTTTTATGACCAGAAAATTTTGTATACTTTAAGTCCTCAGAGAAGCAACTTTTTATTCCAAAGGACACAAGATTCAGTTGAAAACAAATTGAAAGGAAACAGTGTTGGTATCAAATTTTTGTACAGTCACATGTCACTTAATGACAGGTATGTGTTCTGAGAAATGCCTCGTTAGGTGATTTCATGTTGCGCAAACATCATAAAGTGTACTGAGCACAAGCTAAGAATACCAAGAAGCTATAAGTGATGTAATCTTATGAGACTGCCCTGGAAGTCGGTCATACAAGTGATCCTTCATTGACTAAAACATCATTGTGTGGTGCATCGTTTTATTTAGTTTTCTTGAACATTTATAACACAGCAACCTTAAGGATGCTGAATATGAACACATTGACTCAATGATCTGCAACGGTGTCCAGTCTTGGAACTGTCGAAGTCCAGGAGACTTGATGATGATGATGATGTTGCCACAACCTAAGCCATATGGTGGCTCAGAACCCAGTAAGAGACCATTGCGTCAGGAAGGAGGAGGGCTAAAGAGGACCTAAGGAGCTGTTCTACATCACACTGGGTTAGATGTGGTTAGCCCTATATTAGCTCACACTAAATGCAAAATGAGGAAAATACAATATTGCATAAACACTAAGATACAGAATCAAGACAGTAAAGCCAAGAAAAGATCTCTAGGAATAAAGAAGGCCAAGCTCATGCAAAAGAATTGCCCCCTGGGATATAGAAACAGTTATTTTATTGTAGAACATTCCCCTTTACCGGTATTTTAGTAATGTAATTTTACTGTTTAAGTTCTGGAATTTTTTTTTTTTTTTGGTACAGGGGATCAAACTTGGGACCTTGCGCTTGCCAGGTAGGCACCAGAACCACTGAACTAAATCCCCAGCCTAAGTTTTGGGAATTTTGCATAGCTCTGAATTTAGATCTTTTTTTATTTCAGACTGAGTCTTCCAGAGTTTCCCAGGCTGGCCTTGAACTTGCAGTCCTTCTGTCTCTGTCTCCCAAGTAGCTGGGATAACAGGCATGTGCCACTGCACCCCATAAAACTTTAGATCCCTAGAGAAATTAAGTAAAAGGCTCATAAAGATAAAAGCACTAGAACCAGCTCCCACACTTGTTTATACACTGTAATATAGAGATCGGCTCCATCTCTATGATACTTGCCCCTGCCCCCATTTTGGCTGATGTCTTCATTTTAAGGCTGGTACCTGCTGCTCCCTAGAAGAGGGCTGCTGCAGTGCCTGCCACATCTCCCTGACACTGAAAGGCGTAATTATTGTTAGACTTCAGTCAGAGGTTTTCAGACTTTAAGAATATACATATTGTGGTTCTGGACAAAACTAAGACGTTTTATATAAAAACTTCACTTTTCAGTCACTTTGTTTTTGGCTTTTGAAAAAGAAACCCAAAGATAAAATTATTCATTACCATTTCTGATTAGTCCTAAATCATTCACAAATACCTCAGATAACTTTGGGTATACAGCTAGATTATTGGAAAAGCAAGAGATCTTATAAAATGATGCATGTAACTCTTTGAGAAAGAGGGGAGTAATCTTACTACTTTCTGTATTTAAAAACCATTTATGCACATTTATATTTTTCCAGGAACTTGAAATATAAATGATCAAAGGGTTTTATTCTCTTCCTCAAGCAATGCAAAACCAGAAATGAAATGAGTTATTTTCTTTATCCTGGGCTCAGAGGAATTAAATGTTTACCAGAGACATAAGTAAAGCAGAGCCAGTTAAGATTCAAATGCAAATTGATCAGATCCCAAAGCCTGGTTTTCCCACTCCCTCAAAATGATTTTTCAGTATTGTATTATTCATTCCAAAGATCTTTTCTCCTTTTTCAACCTGAGCCCAATACTTCATTCATTTTTACAAGTGTCACCAGTATTGTTTATGGAAGTTGTATACTACAGAGTACCACATACTGTGCTGCGTGCCACCCTGCTTTTCTTGTTTAATGTATGTATCCATGGAAAGATAAATGGGTTTTGCTTTGAGGTTCTGAAATGCTCTTTCAGGTAACCAAGCAGCCTTTCCTCCTATTAATATAAATGTGTGAAAGGCAAATACCCACCTTTACATTAGATTCTCTAGTCTACTTTTCCTCTTTTCACCTTAAAAAAAAGTCACCACTAATACATCATTAGAGCAGGTTCACCATTGCCACAGTAGTAGAAAAGATAGGAGGAGCTGTATAAAACAAGAGGCCACAGACAGACTCGGTCTGAGTTTATAAGTGGATATGTAAGTCCTTTATATCAGAGGCTGTCAATGGGGAAGGGGGACTTTTGCTCCCCCGGGGACATTCTGTAATGTCTGGAGACTTTTTCATTGTTGTGACTGGGGGACGAGGAAGGGACATTATGGGCACATAGTAGGAAGAGGCCATGGATGCAGCTGTAGTACATGGGACAGCTTGGTACAACAGAGACAAGTCCAGCTCAGTCTGTCAGCAGTGTCTTGGTGGAGTGGTCTGGGTGTGTATCTCAGTGGTAGAGCACTTGCCTAGCATGTATGAGGCCCTGGGTTTAATCCCCAGCACTGTGCCGGCAAAAAGAGCAGACAGAATGTCTTAGTCAAGAAAACCTAATCTACAGAAAATAGATAAATACTTGCTAGGCCAAGGCACTGAGTTGTTCTATGTCTTGGTTCACTGATGTTCAGACTTCTCAGCTGTAGGATTCTTTAATGAAACAAAAGCTTACTTAGGAGCCCCATGAATTCAACATGCTGAAACAGAACTGTCCTAAGTGGGGACCTTAAATGATGTGAGATAAGTTATATTTAATCGCAAAACATTTCAAGTAAATAATAAAAGAGCTAATGTATCCTGCCTTGGAACCAGCATTGCTCCAGTGATATTGGGGCCTGACAGTTTCATTTTGCATTGGTGGGTGCTTTATACCTAAACAACTGTTTGCTTTTTCACTAAGTCTTTTTACTGAAGAAATTCACTCCCTGGGTTTTCACATCCAGGTACATAGTTAGCACCTCCTGATCGATAGTTTTTAACTTTCTGCTTTTCAATTTTTTTTTTGGTTTTTTTTTTGTACCAGGGATGAAACTCGGCTCCTTGCGCTTGCACAGCAGGCGGTGAAACCACTGAGCTAAATCCCTGGCCCTGCTTTTCAATTTTTAATCCCTTTGTCTATTCCAGTACAGCCCTTGTTTCTTCATACTTCATTCCATTGAATAAATTCTTGTCCCCCTTTAAAGTTATCTTTACATCCCTTCTCACTCCTACTCAGATACCTCTGTTGGTCCAGCAATCAATAAACGAGTGCTTGAAATAAAAAGAAAAAAAGCTTGGTCCTCTTAAATGTTTTGAGGCTCCAGTGGTTTTGGAGGGTTGGGTCTCCCAACAGCAGGATGCTCTGTGGAGCTTTGTCCTCAGAGAAGTTCTGCTTTTATATGTCTGCTACAGACATATAAAAGGGCTTTACAATGTAGGAGAAACGAAAAATGTACCATGGTTTGGAAGAAAATGGGAGAGAGGAATGAGATGTTCCTAGTGAGTTTAAGCCACCAAATGGCTGCCTATTCATGTGATTGCTGTTTCTGTACTGCAGAGTTTTTCTAAACAAATTAGCCAAAGCAAGACTTTAAAGATAATCTTTCATAGACCAACTCCTTTTTTTCTTGACCCTTTATTTTTATTTTATTTTATTATTTATTTATTTATTTATTTTTGGTACTGGGTATCCAACTCAGGACCTTGTGCTTGCAAGGCAGGCGCAGCACCACTGAGCTACATCCCCGGCCCTTGACCCTTTATTTTTAAAAGGAAAAAGTTCTAGACTCCTACTAAAGGTCTGCTTAATAATCCCGCTATTCTGGGTGTGGTGGTGTGTGCCTGTAGTCCCATATTTTTGGGAGGCTGAGGCAGGAGGGCACCTTGAACCCAGGAGTTCCAGTCCAGCCTGAGCAAAGGGGAGCAGGACACAGATTTGCGCACAAAGAGCACAGGATGCATCCACTGGTTTATGGTAAAACTTTGCATTTGTTCCTTGGCACTAGATTATTGTATCTGTCTGATCAATTGGCATTCGTTACTTTGTTCATTGAGCAAACACTATAACATAAGTCTTTTTGAAATTATAATCACAGTGTAGGTAGCTAGATTCCATCTCCAGCCGTCCAAATTGTACTCACTTTCAGTACCTAGAAACTAAGCCTACCACTCACTGGCAGGCACCTCAGGAGCAAAGTGTACTGTATGTGGCGCTCAATATAAACTGACTCTTGTTTTCCATATGATCTGACTTTATAGCATCTGAGTGAAGATCTATAATTTAAATGGAATTGTAATCCATAATTTAAATGGATTGTAATTCTACAGTCCAGACTTTCTACTTAGACTTGTCTCTATTTTGATGTATTGTAAAAGTCAAAAGGAAAATTAAATGGATGTTTTTTAAATTAATTATTTTGTAATGATTTCTTTGTTTATATTTTCTTCTTTAAAGAATGAATTTACTTTAGGACATGTTAAAGTCAAATACTTTGTTATACAATTTTCTAATAGAAAACCTATTTAAATGCTAATAAGCATGGGGTATATCACAATTGATAATTGGAATAGAAATGCTAAAGCTTTACATTTTATCATAGTATCATAACCAGAGAAGACACTTGTGATATTTCTGTAGGAAAGTGGCAAAAGAATAATGACCAAAGTCAATTGCCTTAAAAATGGAATGTATGGCAGGAAGAACAGAGGTCTTCGTAAATTTTAGATATGTAATATATATTTTTATTCTCCAAAGACTTTCTATATAGATTGTTTTATTTTTAACACTGAAATGTAGCAGCTGGGTTGTTTATCCTATGTAGGTTTAGGTTAGACCTTTTCTAATCCTCCCGTGTTTCACTGTCTTTTTTATTTATTAATTTGGGGTACTAGATTGGACATACCAGTATGTTCATTACAAGAAAAAAGGATTGGAATTTTTAATTGCTGTATTTTATTTCATTACATTTTACAAGTTTAAATTCCAGGTGGCATCCCAATGGATGTTATTGAAATAAATACATTACTAGAAATAAATACATCATATACATATTACTGGATCCGTGAAAAATTGATTATTTACTGCTGCAAAAGACCTAATTAATTAGGAAGAAATAAATTGTTCTGAAGAGAGCTAGGCATGATGGTCTCCACCTATGATCCCAGCGCTTTGGGAAGCTCAGCCAGGAGGATAGCAAGTGCAGGTTAGTCTGGGCAACTTAGCAAGACTCCGTCGCAAAAAAAGTCTAGGTGATATAGGGGAATAGATGTAACTCCCAAACCTGCTAGATATCTGAAGCACGAGTTCACATTCTCTAAAATCAAACAATGAATTCTAGGGACAACGGAGATTACAAGTTGGAAGAATTTATTGAGAGAAAGATAGCTTCTCAGAGAGACAGAAGGAGGACAAGAAAGTGGGTTGCCTGCCCACCCCGCTTCTCAAAGGTGTTTTATGGGACAAAGCCAGGAGGTAAGGTGAGTTCAAGGTGGGACAAAACTAAGGTCAACTAGTAAGATTACAGGTACAGTCCCTGAGGTAATATTTATCCAGTGGGAAATCAAGGTGGACAAAACTATGATCAACTAGTACAAGTATAGTTGCTTAGATAATATTGATTAAATAGGGATCAAATCGGGAAGCAAGTCATTGCAGCAAGGATAGGATATAAGGATCAAGCAAGGATTTTCAGAAAGGGATGGGTCAAGGATCTTTCCTGAAAGGGGTGTCTAAGATCTTGATCCCCCACTCAGGTGATTGAGACCTATTTAGAGTATCAGTCACTGCTATTCATCCTTAGGAGAAGCTCAGGGGTGTAGTAGTTTCTTTTTTTTTTTTGCAAGGCTGGCCTTCAGTGAATGTGTCTTCATTGTCTTCCATGTTGACTCCTCCACAGTCAGCCCTAACTGCCTACAAGATAACTAATTAACTTACCTATCTATAATATAGAGCTATAACTCAGAATAAAGATCCTGAATTCAATGCCAAGTATTACAAACAGAAAACAAAAACAGCAAGAGAAAGGGATATTTCATTATCAGCCTGTTCCTCTCTGTAGGTGTGGATGTCTAACAGTGCAGATTATTTTCAAATTAAATTTGTGATGGCAGAGGATATTGGGATGAAGAGAGTTGAACAGTATATGCTATCTCCCAGAATCCAAGCAGAATTAAAAGGTAATGAAGACTACAACTATAGTTTAGTTTTTTCTTTTCCATCTACTCCCTTGTCCCATTTCCTTCCTTACCTTTATTTCCCATAAATATGCTAAAGATTATTATATACAGCTGAGGTAACCCCTGCACTTGGGTACTTTTTTTCTTTTATAGTTGATTGATTTCATGAGTAAGGATTAGGAATGGCATTGCAGATAACGTGTTTTAGATCAATAAATTTTTTTAGATCAATTCTTTTCAAAGAATTGTCCCCTGGTATATAGAAACAGCCATTTTATTATAGAACTTCCCTTTACTGGTATTTTGGTAATGTAATTCTACTGTTCAAGTTCTGAAATTATATATCATTTCTGATTTGGTTTTTAAGTGTAAAAAGGTAGAAGCCAGGATGCGAGAAGTATTTTAAAATCAGAAATTATATTCTGTTGATGGTAATTGTGAGAATTACTGCTGGAATTTTTCAGAAAATTTTCAGGAAGCTGATGCAGTTTGGGGAAGCAAAGTAAAAGGGAAAGGCAAAGATCTCAAATACATGTGGCCTGAAAAGGTAATATAGCTGGGTTTAACTTTAACCTAAGGACTGTATCAGTTTTTCCATTTTCAGATTGTGTTTTAACATGCAGATAATTAAGGTATTTATATTTAGTTTAACATGTATTCTAGTAATCACCCTGTAATAGGAACAGTGAGGAATTGGCTTTAGAAAAGTTAAGTGACTTGCCTTATTCATCTATTAGGCAGCAGATTCAAAATTAGGATCAAAGCACAAGGTCCAGAGTTCGATCCCTGATATCCAAAAAAAAAAAATTAGGATCTATTTATTTTTCATAATCTCTCATTCCTGGCTTGCATTTTAATGTCTGCTCCCTAAACTTTGGCACAAAATCATCCACCATGGCTTGAACCATTCCTGTATCTTAAGTTAACCAAAATAAGAGTGTTCACTTGTAGAATGAAAATTTACCTGCTAGAAAACTTGGTCTTACAAGACCAAGTTTTCCTTAACCAGAACCAAGGCACAGAGCTAAATTGGAAAGAAAATTTACTATAATCCACTTGTTTCACTAGGAACAAAACTGTCAAAGATAGTCAAGGGTAAAAGTGAGGGATATTACCCAGACATAGCTCTTAATTTCTGAGCTAAGAAAAGATTGCTAGGAATAACAGTCAAGAAACTTGATTTAATTTGTAATTAGTTTAAATAGCACCTTCAGTGTACAAGACACTGTGCTATAATATAGACGATACCACGATGAATCTCTGCCAACAAAAGGTTTATAATCTATTAGAGAAGGATCTACAGGTAACTCTTGGGCAGATTACAAGTAGCATTAGCTGTAAGTAACGGGGAAGGAAACCCAGAGAACACGAATTTAGTCTGCAGAGGAATAAATAAAATGAGAACAAGTGAAAGAACAGTGGGTCAAACAATATTTTAAGGAAACTTTGTCAGGAGGACACAAGAGAATGAAGAGAAAATGAACAAAAATCCCCTGTTCCCTTTCATAGACAATGCAAATAATCACAAAATGTCTCTGTGTTCAGTCTTTTGGTTCCTCTTAAATTCATTTAGTTTTTCTTTCCTCTTGTTACATAACCTTGGTAGTCTATGAACATTAATCAAAGTTGCCTATCAAAAGGTTTTGGACTATCTTGAATATACATTTAATGAAAAAACTAGACTTGGAATTTTGGTTTTGAGGCTCAAAATTAATAGTCGTAAAAAGCTAGATTATCTTTTTTTTTTCTTGTTCTTTTATTAACGTGAGCATATATTACACTTTCTGTCATGTCTCTCCATGTGTACCAGTATGTGGTAATAATCTCTATAGGTTAGCTGATTTGGCTGTGCTTTTCAGTTCCAGCATTTCTAACAGAGTGAGGCTTGGAAGGGTAAACAGGGATAGGAGAGTTGTGTCACCATATTCCAGGAGTATTAAAGTATCTAGAGTGGAGTTTGATTACTGCAGCAACCTTTGATTTAAAGGTGATTGCTTTAAATGATATTAATTTTCTTTTTTTTTCTTTTTTCTAAACTGTTCTTGGGCATAGGTGAACATTTTGTACTCATTTAAGAACTATTCTAGTCCAATCTAAGACTGCAATAAGAAGAGGTAGATTAACCTCTTCACTTTCAAATAAGCAATCCAGGGACACAAGGGAGTGATTTGTAACTACACTTGAGCTTAGCCAAAAGGCCTAGAAGCGATGGGAGTGATTTGTAACTACTTATACTCCAGGAACTAGGAATTTAGGAGAGTATTGTTTTCTTAAAAAGCATTTTATAAGTAGCATATGATGTAATACCTTAATGTGGTTTTATAATCTTCTGTGCTGAGCATAGATTACAGAGAGCCACTGCAGGAAATATGACAGAGAAAAGGGAAACACCAGCAGTGTTTTGTGCACCAGAGGCTGGAGTGCCACGGCTCACTGTTTACCACGTACCTAGTCATCAGTATGTGAAGATACCATGGGTGGAGCCAAATTATGGTAAAGGTTAAGGGTAATAACCAGGAAACAAGGCAGTATCAGAAAAGTTGTACCAGAGTAAAATGTCTGTCAAATCCTAATGTATTTTATGTCTGTCCTAGTGCAAGACCTAAGAGCACAAAATACAGAAATTTTATGTTCCCTGTGTAGATCTTCCAACTGCTAATATGTGTAATTATGCGATATTAAAAAATCGTGTTACTATTAAAACAGTGTCATCTAAAAGTCTTAATAATTGTTTTTTGTTTTGTTTTGAGACAGGGTCTCACTATGTAATTTAGGCTGGTCTTGAGCCCATTATGTATTCCAGACTGGCCTCGAACTCCTGGGGATTTTCCTGCCTGAGCCTCTGGTGTGTTGGGATTATAGGCATGCTGGGCCACCCCACCCAGCCCTGGTTTTAGTGTTTTTAACTATGAGTTCCTGGAGGTGGTGGCTACAGTGATAATTGACTGGTACAATTGGGAGCCACTGTCTTCGTGCCAAGGTGTCAGCACTTTTAGTATCCATTATAAGGAACAAGACTCAGGAGTTAAGATCACTTCAAAGATTATATGAAAGGGACATGTCAAAGCTGGACTTGCATATTGGTATCTTGTTTCCCAAGTGATTCTCTCCTGTTTTATTTTTTAAATAATATATTCCAGATCTTTCAGTGGCCCCTTGGAAACTTCAGATTTTTACTCCGATTTTCATCCTTAAATATATAAACATTTATTAGCTTTGTTTAATTTTTCTTTCGTCTTCTTTTTCATTGTAAAAAATAATGATACCAAATTTTAAAAATGTATGACTGTCTCCTTTGTCAGTAAACATAGTTTATAGGAATAACCTGTGTTTTTATTTGACCATATTTTCCATTAAAAACGATCAGTTGTATATTCATGGCCAAGATTGAAAGATTGTTTATGGGAATTGTCTTTCCACAGAGAAATGAAAAGAAGTAAAAACTATTATTATTTTAACATCTCTGAAGTTTACTAAGCAAAATCTTTAAAAGTTAGACATTTTTAAGGAAAAATTTAGGTGAACTTAGTTATATCTTACCATGAATTTTATAAGAAACACCCAGGAGCGATTAAAGAATTTGTAGTGATTTTAAAATATGTTCCAAGATACTTTATAGGTTTTATGATGACTTCAAATGCATATCTCTTCCTAAAATGATATCTAAACCAGTCTCATACATAAGATCAAGATTCTTTGGACCGGTAAATGGAGTATTGAGGTGAAAAAATGTTGAAACTATTATTTTCAGGCCTCATGCTGTACCCAGTGAGGGCATAAAGCCTGGATTAAGAGTTTTGAAAGAAAAGGCACACTAAGGTCTCACTTTTGTGACAGAGGAGGTTTTAAGTAGAAAGTTGTAAAGTTCTAACAATACTACAATTCATATTTTCACAAGCATCATATTTGTAAAAACGAAAAATGTCATTTTAACTGTTTCTATCTTTGCTGAAGATAGGTATATTTATATTCAGAGTGATTATCCTAACAAAGCCTTATTTTCAGAAACATTTAAATTTAAAAAGAACATAATTGCTTCAGCAGTGGAATTCATTCTTTTCCCAGAATTGACCTTGATAGTCTTAATTGGCCCTGGAAAGACTGAAAAACACCCCTTTGGGTGTCCAGGCAGTGTTACAAATGTTTGTAAGGGTATGAACTTCATGAATTTGAAAGAGATTCTGTGGTCTCATTCCCAAGATTTGTGTTATGTAAATAATTCATTGGGCCTAGAAATCTGTATTTTAATAAGCCACATAGGTACATATTTGATTTTTTTTTTTTTTTTTTAAGAAGGGAAGGTTATTTTTAGCTCACACTTTGCAGAAGTTTCAGTCCACGGTCAGCTGGCTACAAGGCAGGGTGGCATGACACGGGCATCATGGAGCAGAAACCGCTCAGGCAGAAGGCCCATAGTTGATTCTTTTTTTTTTTTTGGTACCGGGGATCCAACTCGTGTCCTTGAGCTTGCGCAGCAGGCGGCGAAACTGAAAGGTCGCCGAAGAAGGGGAGCACACACGGACGTTCAAACAAGCTTTATTGGGGCGGCAGTCTGCAGCCTGCCAGGCTGACTCACAGAATGGAGACCAGCAACTGCATGGGCTGAGCTGGAAGCTTATGTAGGGATCTTGCAGGTGGGAGAGCACTGGTCCATTGGTGGGGGTGGGTGACTGGGGCTCGGGTATGTAGCAATAGGTTTCGGTTGGATGGGGGCGGGGGATGGAGTCACTGCTTTCGGGAAGCCCCTGTCTCACTGGAACATCTGACTAAGAAACCGGTGGGGCAGAAAGTCCTTAACTAGGCAGAGAGTCACTAACAAAGGGGGGTCAGGCCTTAGCTATGTGGAAGTTCCCTGTTCCCTGTGTCCGGAGTGGGGTAAGGGGAAAGGAGAGGAGGGGCCTTGCTCCATGGGGGCTCTGAAATGCCTAACAGAAACCACTAAGCTAAATCCCCGGCCCCCATAGTTGATTCTTAAGGAGTCATTCTTGGGAGTGGGCAGCAAGAAAATCAGAACTTTTTCAATCTGGAGTCCTAAGGAGATATCCATTTAAAAATCTCTTTTACTTGTAAATTTTAGCAATGACAGTTCTGTGAATAAGATTTTATCCCCAGATTAGCAATTTAAAAATTTAAGGATTTGTTTACCCCAGGAGTCTCTAACAAGACAAAACATTCCGATTTCCTTAAAAGTCTCAGATGAGGGCCAGGGATTTGGCTCAGTGGTTTCACAGCCTGCTGCTCAAGCACAAGGACCCGAGTTCCATCCCCTGTACCAAAAAAAAAAAAAACAGTCTCAGATGAATCGAATCAAGAATTTTTTTTAAACATTTTAAAACTTTTTAAAAAACTAAAGCCAGAAAGCATTGTAAAAATTTTCCTAAACTATTTGAATGATTAGAATTTTATTCCATGTGTATTCTAATGGCATAAAGATTTTCAATGTATTTTTTATTGTAGAGTAATTAAGGCTTTTGGAATGATAAAGCAAGCATACCAAAATAATTTAACCCAGATGTTTTAATAATTATTTTTACTTACACCACATGTCAAAGAGTTTTTGCTTTTCTTCGTAAATGCTAATTTATATGTCCCTGTTTGGGATCTGGTATAATTTACATATAATAAAATTCATCCTTTGTAGTATACAGTTTAAGTTTAACAAATGCATAGATTTGTGAGACCAACATCACAATCATGATCTAAAACATTTCCATTACCCAAGCCATTTTATTGTAGATACATAAGTTAATTAGTTATCTTGTAGACAGTTAGGGCCAGCCCATGAGCCAACATGGAGGACAATCAAGATACTTTCACTGAAGGCCAGCATTGTGAAAGAAGAGAAACTACCACATCTGCATACTTCCCCTAGGGATGAATAGCAGTGATTGATATTCTAAACAGGTATCAATAGCCTGGCTGTCGGACCAAGATCTTACCCACTCCTTCATGGAAAGATCCGTGACTGAAATCCTTGTATGCTTGCTACAAGACTTGCTTCCTGATTTGATCCTGAATTAATCGATATTACCTAAGTGACTATATTTGTCATAATCTTATTGGTTGATTATACTTTTGTCCCACCTTAAACCTGCCTCACCTCTTAGTTTTGTCCCATAAAACACCTTTGAGAATTGGGTGAACAGGCAACCCATTTCCTGGTCCCCATTCTGTCTCTCTTAGGCAGAAGCTATCTTTCTCTCAATAAATTTTTCCTACTCTTAACCTCCATTGTTCCTAGAATTCATTCTTCAATTTCAAACAATACGAACCCCAGTTTTGGATATCTAGCACTTTGGGAGCTGCATCTCTTCCCCCTGTATCAGTTTCTTCATGCAGTTTTATAGTCACTTATACCCACTGCCAGCCCTGTCCAAGCTCCGATGTATTTTTATTCCTATACCTTTTCCCTCCCTCCCTCCCTCCCTCCCTTCCTTCCTGTTTTTTGGTACCAAGGATCAAACGCAGGACCTTTCACTTGTGAGGCAGGTGGCAGGACCACTGAGCTAAATTCCCAGCCCTCCCTGGCCCATCTTTAAAAATACCTTTTCTTTCTTAAATGACATATACATGGAATCATATAGTATGTAAGATTTTGAGTGTGGCTTCTTTAACATAATAAGTCTGAGATTCATCCATATGGTATGAATCAGTATGTAGGTCCTTTTATTTTTTTTTTGGTACTGGGGATCGAACTCGAGTCCTTGCGCTTGCGAGGCAGGCTGCAGAACCACTGAGCTAAATTGCCGTCCCCTGTAGGTCCTTTTAATTGGTGACTAGTATTCCATTTTGTAAAGGTGTGAGGGACATTTGGGTTTTACTAGGTTTTTGGCAGATGAATTATTCTGCCATGAACATTCATATACAGGACTCTGTGTGAAAATGGTTCTTATTACTCTTGAGCAAACAGTAATGAGATTCCTGGGTGGTGTCTGAAGGGTGTTATGTATGTACCTTTTGCATTCTCACCAGCAGTGTAAGGGAGTTCCAGACTTTCTACACCTTGATATGCACTGAGGATTGTCCAGTTTGCCTTTCTTTTCTTTGGTACCAGAGATCAAACTCAGGGCCTTGGGCTTGCGAGGCAGGCGCAGTGCCACTGACCTAAATCCCCGGCCCTTACCTTTTGTTTTTTATTTTCAATTTTTTTAATTCTGTTTTTGCCATAAATGAGTAGCTGTATCTTATTGTGGTTTTAATTTGCATTTTTCTGATCAATAATATTAAGCATCTTTTCATGAGCTCATTTTTCATCTTTACTCATTGGTGAAGTTTAACATCTTTTTTTTTTTTGGTATTCAGGTTCAAACCCCAAGAACTTGCACTTGTTACATAAATACTTTACCACAGAGCTATATCACCAGCCATATCAATACAAGTGGAATATAACTCCCAACCTACTACATGTGCCAAGTTTGAGTTTCTGTCCCCCAAAATCAGAGTGAATTCCAAAGCAATGCAGGTTAAGAGGAAAGATTTATTCAGAGAGAGCTACTGAAAGACAGCAGGGATTGCGCCGAGGTTTGTTTTTTTTCATTTTTAATTTTATTGGTTCATTTTAGATATACAGTATAATGACATTTATCATTGGAAATTTGCACCTTTACATAATCTCTCTTGGTTCTTATTTTTTCCCCTTTCCCCTGCCCTCCCTATTTACAAAGACTTTGTTTCCATTTTTTCATTTTCTCATATTATTTCCATTCCCTTCCTTCCTTTCCCCTACCCCTTCCCCTTTGTCCCTTTTCTTCCTATTGGACATTATCGATTATACCTTTTCGCTATTATGTACACTTTCAGTATCTCACACTAGAGAAACTATTTGGTATTTACACATGTGTGTCCTATTTATTTCACTTAAGAACATCACCTCAATGTGTATCCATTTGGCTATAAATGTCTCTAATTTTTCATTTTTTATGGCTGAGTAGTACTCCATTTTATATTTTATAAACCACATTTTCTTTATCGAGTCTCCAGTTGATGGACAATTGGGCTTCTTCCAAGTTTCAACTATCATGAATTGTGCTGCTATGAACATGGGTGCACATATATCACTGTGGCATGATTCTTTTAATTCTTTGCGCTAGATACCCAGCAGAGGAGTAGCTGGGTCAAATGGGACTTCCAGTCCTACTTCATTGAGGTATCTCCATACTGATTTCCACAGTGGTTGCACCAGTCTGCACTCCCACCAGCAGTGAAGCAGTGTTCCTCTTTCCCCATAGCCCAGCCAGCATTTGTTATTGGTTGATTTCATGATAGCAGCCACTCTTTCTGGAGTGAGGTGGAATCTGAGCTTCGTTTTCATTTGCATCTCTTGAATGACCAGTGTTGTTGAGCTTTTTTTTCATGTTTATTTGCTGTTTCTGATTCTCTGTCTGAGAAATGTCTGTTTTTAAATTCTTTACAGATTCGAGATAGTAAACCTTTGTGTAAGGAAGAGCAGGTGAAAATTTTTTCTCACATTTTGGGTTGTCTCTTCACACTGTTGGTGAATTCTCTTGCTGTGCAAAAGCTTTTTAGTAAGAAGAGATCCCACTTGTTGATTGTTTATGCTAGTTCACGGGCAACTGAGGTTTTGTTCATAAAATCTTTTCCTACACCAATGTCTTCGAGTTCTACCTAACGTCTATTCCAGCCAGTTCAGTGTTTTCTGTTTTAACATTTAGATCTTTATTCCATTTAGATTTTAGTTTAGTGCATGGTAAGAGATATAGGTCTAGTTTTAATTTTTGGCAAGTTGAAACCCAGTTTTCCCAGCACCATTTATTAAAGAGGCTATCTTTCCTTCAGTGAGGGTGTTTGACTCTTTATCAAAGATGAGGTGGTTGAGTGTGTCTGGCGTTGTTTCTGCATCTTCTAATCTGTTCCACTGATCCTCAGGTCTGTTTCTTTGCCAATACCATGCTCTTTTGATCACAGTAGCTTTGTGTAGTATAGTTTCAAGTTTGGGATTGTGATACCCCCTACCTTGTCTTTATTACCTAGTATTGCTTTCACTATTCTAGGTTTCTTCTTGTTCCAAATGAATTTTTGGATTGTTTTCTCAAGGTCTGTGAAGTATGCTGCTGGAAATTCAATTGAGATTGCACTGAATCTATATAGCACTTTTGGAAGTATGGCCATTTTCACTATGTTGATCCTTTCTACCCAGGAACAGGGGATGTCCTTCCATATTCTGATATCTTCAATCTCTTTTCTTTTCAGAGTGCTATAGCTTTCAGAGAAGAGATCTTTGATTTCTTTCGTTAGGTTGATGCCTAGGTATTTCATTTTTTTGGATGCTATTGTGAAAAAAATTCTTTGCCCTATTTCTGTCTCAGTGAATCTGTTGTTTGTATAGAGGAAAGCTATTGATTTTTGTGTGTTGACCTTCTATCCAGCTACTTTACTGTATTTGGTTATTAAGTCTAGAAGACTTTTGGTGACGTTCTTGGGGTCTTCTATATAGAGTATCACGTCATCTGCAAATAATAACAATTTCACTTCTTCGTTTCCTATCTTTATTCCTTTTATTTCTTTCTCTTGACTAATTGCCGTGGCTAATGTTTCCAAAACTATATTGAACAGGCTTGGTGATAGTGGGAATCCTTGTCTTGTTTCTGATTTTAGTGTGAAGGATTTCAGGTTTTGACCATTTAGTATGATATTGGCTATTGGTTTTACATAGATAGCTTTTATCAGATTGAGGTAGAGACCATCTATTCCAGTTTTTTATAGGGTTTTTATCATAAATGCATGTTGAATTTTGTCAAATGCTTTTTCTACATCTATTGAGATGATCATATGGTTTTTGTCCTTGGCTCTATTGATATAGTGTATTACATTGATTGATTTGCGTATGTTGAACCATTCC